ACCATCATAAAGTAATAAAGCAAATCAAACAGAACAAAATAATTTAAAAATGGCAGTTTAGATTATTATTATGTAACAGTTTTGGCTAAAAAATATAATTTAAGATTTTCAATAATTATTTGCATATTAATTTTTGAACTAAAACTATTACATAATAATGTTCTAAACCATCATTTTGAAATTCTTTTGTTTCGTTTGATTTGCCTAATGATGGTAGTTATTTTATCAAAAGTACATGCAAATGAAAATTTTGTACTTTATGTGCACATTTTTGTTTTGACTTTAAAACAATCTCTTGATGTTAAATTAATTAAAGCAGATTTACTGGCTTTATTGTACTGACAGTATGTGCCTCCATGACTTGATTTAAATTACATATGGAAAACTGAAGAAAACAAGAGAATTTATCTTAAAAGCTTATATTAAATCTATTTCCAAATTAGAAAAAAATAATGTCCATTTCTCCTACCATCCAGCAATTTTAATTAATGACTATAACATGACATTATTCCCTCATTAAAAATATCCTGTTTCTCCATTTTTCCCAACTTTTATCTGTTCCATGAGCATTAGAGTCAAGGTTCAAATTCTCTGGTCTGACATTGATTAAAATTCTAACACACATGCTTGAGTCTCATTCAGGACTTACATTATTTACATTCATGTCACTTCTATTTTATATATTTTCTTCTCTATAATAAAATATATTTTTGGCATGTTTAGAGAAAGGTTCAGACTCTGTCTGGGCCTGACAAATTGATAATGCTTAAAATGCTTACTTGATTAAAATAAATGAAGAATAGCAAAATGAACATTTTATAATATTTACATACACACTTCATGTAAATGTTAAGAGCAAATGCTATTTTAAATTTCTAAATTTAATTTATTTTGTTTGTAATATATTTGATTTAATGATTGTAGCTTCTGAAGATAAAGTTTCTAAACATATTCAAAAATTCTGAGTTCTATAAAAAAATAAAATCTGTTTTAATTATTGTTCAATGGTTAATGAAAATTTTGTTTATTATTAGCTTACAAATGTTTATTTGCCCAACAAATAATTTTTTTTTTGTACTATTGGCCTAAAAATAATACTAACAATGTGCAATTGTTACATGTCTTAACCAAAGTTTTAAGTGTTAAACATACTATATACAAATAGCAGTTTAAACAGTAAGTAGTTTAAATTGATGGCATTTGTAAATTCAATTATAGAGGATGAATTACTAGTAATTAATAACAATCATATTTCTTACTTCACTTATTATTATTAAACAGTTATCATTATCATATACAGGGTGATCCATGTTTAATCAATCCACTGGAATAACTCAAAACACACATTCTACAAAAAAGTCATTACTCAAAAATTATTAGACTTTAAGGGAATCACAAGATAGCATTACAATTGGTGAAAATGAAGTCAACTTCAAAAATAAACACTGCAAAAACCTAACAAGCCAGCAAGAAAATTATACATAATGTGCAAATGTTTTTGCCTGTGTTAAATGGGCATCGTCAGGCAACAAACTGCTGAGAAGACACAGGGAATTGCCTAACATGTGTAGAGGGAAGGGGTGTATGGCGTAAGAAGAGACAAGGGGAATTTATATTTTGTAGAAAGACTTCCAGACAGTGGGGAAGGAGTCAACATTGCAATAGCTTATGGCAAATGGCCTTATAAATTTCCACTTGTTCTAGATGTTTAAGCACATGGTTTAGATTTATAATGTAGGAGGTGTGTTTCATGGAAGTCCACCTAAATGCTTGGGTCAGTTGCATAGGTAGCCAAAGCTGCATTGTTTAAGCATTTTTTGATAGATGTTTGATGTTCCTTGAGATGGATATGTAATGGGCAAGATGTAGCACCTATGTATTGCAGGTGCCAGTTGTAACGATGGTTAATGATGGGGATACTGTAGATGCCTGGCAGGTGGTTCTTGTTGGGACAGTCCATGAAACACACCTCCTACATTACAAATCTAAACCACATATGCTTAAACATCTATAACAAGTGGAAATTCACAAGGCCACCTGCCATAATACAGCCATAAACTATTGCGATATTGACTCCTTCCCCACTGCCTGGAAGTCTTTCTACAAAATATAAACCCCCTCGTCTCTTCTTACGCCATACACCCCTTCCCCCTACACACGTGTTTAGTAATCCTGTGTCTTCTCATCAGTTTGTTGCCTGATGATGCCCATTTAACACAGGCAAAAACGTTCACACTTTATGTATAATTTTCTCACTGATTTGTTAGGTTTTTGCAGTGTTTATTTTTGNTCATAAGAAAAACGAGTAGACCTAAAATTGTGTATAAATATCAGAAACAATTTGTTGATTAGGTGTAAGAAAATATAATATATTTAGTTCATTGTAATAAATAAGAGTTTTTATCAAAAATTTGTTTTTATTTTGCAAAAAACCTTTTACATGATGGGATGTAACAAAAGTTATTTTTAGAATCTGCGATCTTTAAAACATATATTGATAATTCAGCAAAAATATTCCATGCAGCTGGAAAAAAAATTTTTTTTGCAGACCTGTGTAATTTTTAAGTTTAACTTAACCTATTTTTTGCTTGCATCTAATTTTATAGAATATAATTCAGTTTTAAAGAAAGAATAAATAGTTTTCATTAATTAATATTATAGCTGTCATTTTTACTTATGTTTAATTTTAAAATTTTATTATTTAAAATTATTTAAATAAATAACCTCTTAAAGTTATGAAATATGCAATAAGGCAATTTCAAGCTACAAGTAGGTGAAGGATATTTTATTATTTCAACTGATAATTATATTATTTGGAAACAACCATTAATAGGTCTTGTACACAACAAAAAATAAAAAAAAAACTATTGTTTTCAAAAGTATTTTTGAATATTTTTAGTTGTATTCAAAAATTTTATATGAATAACAATGACAAAATTAAGCATAAAAAGATGAAAACTGTTTCTTTTAAAAAATGATTGGATCAATCATAAAAACAAACTAAGTCTAATTATATTTTTGTTACATTGAAATCTTTTACTGTATTATTATAGTAGAGCAAGATTTACAAAAATGTTTTATGTACTTCTATTTATATAGTATTACTTTGTTGACTGATCCATCTCTATTCAACTGAAAAAAATTCAACAGATTCAATAGAAATGGATCAGTCCTTAATTTTTTCAAAAATGAAATATTAATTAAAATAATTTGAATCCATAGTACTATTCTTACTAATATATTTCCTAGAGCCATCAATTTTGACTACATAGTTGAAAACATCTTTTCAAATTTATGGTAAAAACTGGATTTAAAAATTGTTTTTCCAAGCCAATCAGCCAAGCAAAAGTGTTCACAAATAAAGTTTTTGTAATTATTATTGCTTAGCTGTTATTTTAGAATTATTTCTCAGATTCCTTTATCAAGATTCTGCAAATAAAACTGTTAATTTATTGTTATTCCTGTTAGAAAAATTTAAATATATCTCAGTACTGTACAGTACAACTGCAGAGCCCATGTGAAACAGTCAAAAGACTGTTCACTATGACCAAACATTGTAATTAGTTCTTCACAGTTTCATTTTAATTTAAAATCTGTTCAAATTTACTGTTTAAACACAATTAAAAACAAGTGTTTTAAAATTACATGACCATATAGTTCTATTATATGCAAAAGAGCTGATCTTATAGTTCTGATCTCTAAAAGCAAAATCAGTCTTCATTAATTGAAGTCACAATATATTAAAGGAAAAAGAAACATGAATACATATAATAAATACATTCAATATTACATACTTTAGTATGGAATATTTAAAAATTATTATGTTTCCTTGCCAAATAGATAGAAATCAACCAAATCTCCAAAGTCTGAATCCACTGCTAACTTAGCTAAATCCAATCACTAATATTAACTAGCATTAATAAATTTTATATTTGCAAATCATATGTTTGAGATGAAGTAAGTTCAATAATAAGGCTATATTCATTTAAAGTTTGTTTTTATGTCATATGTTCTACAATTTGAACAATTATAGACAATAAAATTAAACAAATTTGCAATAAATTTTACATTAATTTCTGATGAAAAAACTTGCATGTATAAAATACAATATATAACATTTATTTCAGGAAATTTCTAGTAATTGAAGTTTTTTAAATATCAAAGTTCTGACACTTGAATAAGAAAAACAAGTCTGTAGTAAGATATTTTACATTATGTTTTCACGTAATAATTTTTGTTTGTAGTTATTTAATTTTATTGATTTGGGGAATTTTCTATTTTACATCATCATTTAGTAATACTTTGTTAACAGTAAGCAACCTTTTCAGTCTTATTATTAAAAAAAATCATTGAAAATAAACCAAACAATTACCATAAATAATCAGGCTATTTATTGAACATTGAACATTAAAAATTTAAATTTAAGTTGGATATTAAAAAAAACCATAATNGCAAGCATCTTAGTTTTCAAAACATAAAAAATTCAAATATGTTTTTACATAAAATATGAATTATTAGGAAAAATTTTAATCATCATTTTTAATAAAAGGCTGTTTAACATTAAAAAAAATTTCAAAAATTCATTCTCTTCTGCTAATAAACGATAACAAAATAGATAAATTACTGTTCTTGTCAATATAATGACCCATTGCATAGTTGTCCTTGATGTCCTACATATCTACGTGAGGAAATAAATGCTACAAAAAAATGTCCTTTCTTTTAAATGGAACAAACCAAAAAATGAAATCTAAATTCTTCATAAAAATGATTCATTTTATATTCCAGTTAAAATAATTTAAAATTAATTTTTTTTTTAATTGTACATACTTAAAATGTACAGCAGTTTTAGAATTTTGATAAATAAAATAAATTTTAAAATATCTCACTTTTTTTTCATTCAGTAGCTATGGAGGCAATGAGGAGGATTGGCCACATCATAGCCTCAGCTTAGTCAACAGTGCACATATGCAACTAAGCATGCATATATATATATATATTACTTCTAATACCACTGTCAGAGACTAATACCAAATCATATTTGGCAGCCTCATAACCAGGTTGCATATTATTAATTTTTGGATTAACTCCTACTTTCATACCCCCTGTAAGAAAAAATGCATTTATTTTTAAAAAATACATGTAAATGAATAAAATGATAAAATAAACTTACCAACAAAAACTGTTGCATCTACTAATGGATACTTTTCAATTAATTTATGAACTAGCATTATAGATGGATCACTTTCATCATGTATACAAAACAATAATTCATACTGAAAAAGGATTTAAAGTGAAATTAATTTCTGTAATAAAAATCAGAACTTCAATAAATGTAAATGAGTTTACAAATAATTAAAACAATAATTAATATATTTTATTTATTTAAATTAGATGTCAGCTTAACCACCTATCACTAATCAAATTTATTAGCAATTATTTATTTAGTAGCCCAATAATTTGGACAAGATTATTTCACTTCAAAATTTACTAGTTACGCCTATTACAAATTTTCTGTAGATATTTTTTATTTTTTTTTTTCAAACTAACATTTTTTATCAAGTAATTTGAAACAGATAAATGGACATTTTCTACACACTGTTTTACACAGCTGTGGATATACTGACAAATTTATCAAATGTTTTTATGGTATGATCATAATTAAAATATCCTATTTAACATTATCTGGAAAGATATATTGTAGTACAAAACCAAATTTGTTATGTTAATGTTTCCAAAACATGTAAAAGAAATGTCTGCAGGAAAAAAAATTTAGTTCCAAAGCTAACCATTATAGAATTAAATGGTTAGTTTTGCAATCACACAGTGAAAAAACTACTGGCAAAACCTGTTAAAAAGGTGTTATAAGTCAAAAAGCATATCATAGCAGTGGATGGTTTTCATTAAACTGTTTCACATTAAAGGCACATTCAGATAGAGTCACAACCATTACTGCTGATCTACAGTTATAAGAATGTTATTTCATAGGCTTTAGGCAATTTTATGTCTAGAAATTGACCACAGCATATCTGTATTATGTGCTATGGATTTGAATATGTGGAAATCTCTTCCACATATCCAAAATCATCAGCGTACGAAATTTGGATAATTTAAATTACCAAATATCCATACAAATACTGTTGAATAGTGATACTTTAATTACAATCAATCACCCAGTATTATTATTATGCTTGACTTATGGGTAATACAAGTAAAATAACAATAAAGAGCTTATTTGCATACGTATACGACATACTTAAAAAGCTTGTGCAATTTTGAAGAATAGATAAAAATATTTAGTAAACCATATATTAGAGATTGCTGATATATAGAAATATTAACCTTAACTTCCATATTAATGGAGAAACCTCCTACACCTCATACCTAAACCTCATGTATATAACCTCCATATTAATGGAGAAAACAAGAACTTTTTGTCATTTATAAAATAAATCAAACTATTACAAGTTGTTATTGTCAAAAAAATTTTAAATAAATAACCGATCCCATTGAATAATTTAATTTTATACTATAGAAAAATGTTACGCATTCGCAGAGCATAGAATTGGGATCAGTTTGCTTAATTTTGAAAGTATTCTTNTATACTATAAAATCTATATTTATTTAAAATTTAAAATATTGAATTATAAATTGCACACTATTTGAACAATGACAAACAGTATAACTGGAAAGTACTAAATAAGGAAATTGATATTATATGAAATATTTTCTTATCAAAAATAAATATTATAGTTGTCATAACATTTAACAGTTTATATAAAAACTTCCTCAATGTTAATTGCATGTATTAATAATTTTATTCATTATTTACTTTTATCATCTTATCATCAAATTTTTATTTACTTATTTTTTTCTTTTGAAAAAGCAAATATTAAACACAGACAAATTCTGTTAGTTTTAGAAATAAATTAAGAAAAGAATTTTAATTTTTTCAAAACACAACTGTTATAGTTATGCAAAACCAGTGGAAATGGATTTTTATTTATTTCAACATAATTTTCATATATATATATTATATATGATAGTAGATATTGAGAAAGTACCTACTACCAAAGTTAAAATAAACAATTATTTGTTTTAAATAAAAATGTATTTGAAGTATATCTTGTATTTCAAACACTAACTATTTCTACATGATTACAAGTAATCTAGATAGCACTACATTTTAATATCATGTTTGAAAAAAAAAATTGAAATTTTTGATGCAGAAAATAAGCTTTTTCTTTTTATATTTTCAACACAAAAAAACTAAAACCATACATTGCTAAATTTTACAATTACATTTTTAATAATTTTAAAAAGACATTTTAAAAAATTTTTATAATTTTAATTGAAACTAATTATACATACACACACACTACTACAAAATACAACTATATAATTATGTTAAAATTATTATTAGAAATTACTGTAGAATGTATTGAAATTCATTCAATGCATTGTTCTACAGCTAAGTCTATTTTTTATGAACAGATTTAATACAAATAATACAATAGAAACAACATATTACATGCTAAATATTTTAATAAAAATAAATACTATATTTACTTGCATATAAGACAAGGTTTTTAATCATTTATCATAGCTTCAAATTCCTAGGTTGTCCTGAAACGCAAGCGAAAGATTCTTTGCGTTTTTGCAATTCATTTTTGTGAACCATGTATTTGCATTTTTTATTGGATGTGTATCCTCTTGTATTTTAAAATAAAAGTATTTTATCTAGGTCATTTGAATCGTTCTTGTATATTGTCAGGAGTAAAGATGAATAGCAATAGGAATTCCAGATTGAAATTCCAAAATCACACGGGAGCACAATATATGTTTTAATCCATTCCCACAAGAAAACAGATGATTACTTGGAAATCAGAATTCAAAGAATCTCATAAGTGTAACTGACAGAGAATGGATTCGACTGTTAAGAACTTGTAAAAAAAAAAAAAAAAAGGTTCCCAATTGTCCAGCTTTACATGAACAAATTATGTTGTTGATTTTACAAGATTTTCCTTAAAAGTTTAAAATGCCAGTAATTTTTGCAGAATAATGTATGCATTTACATTCATTTGTGATTACACAAAATAAAATTAGAATTGTATTAATAAATATAATTTTTTTTATTTTGAACTTTAAAGTCATACCTCATTCTGTATGCAAGGTCATCTTATATGCGAGTAAATACGGTATATAATTTTGATATATTGAAAATTAAAAAAATTAAATTTTCTTACAAGAGGATAATTCATTGTAAAAAAAGTTTCCAGGTTACTAAAGAGATTAGGATCCACCCCAACAAGAGGTTTGAGAATAGATACCCCAGGCAGTGGCACTTCACCAGATGGCATTTGAATTTTCCTATGAAGTCGCAATTTCCTTTAAAATAAAATTGTTTTTATTTATTTAGAATGTCAGAATTATAATTGTTAAACCTTAAACTAATATTTAATATGATTACATATAATTTATCTTACATAAATTTTAAATACTAGGAGGAGTGAACTTTCAATTGAAATAATGCTTAAATAAAATAAGATATTAAAGAAAAAATATATATATATTCAAATTACTCCGAAATAAATAGCTGTCAACTGACTAAATCCCGATAAAGTCTACACAATATCGATTTATAAGCGAATGTAGACCGATGTCTGACACGTTGCAAAGTACAGTTAAAGGAAAAAAAGAGAAAAAACCTTTGTAAACCGCTGTTTACAAAGGTTTTTTCTCTTTTTTCCTTGTACTTGTATTCGGTTCAGCCTGTTAGGCAGCAGAATGCGTGTTTCGGTCAAAAAACAGGAAGATATCGCGCTATTTCCCTACTTTCTAAGCACTTGCAGCTCCCGAGACGAAAACGCGCCAACAAGTAATAAAATATATATATTATTGAAAAATTTAAATATTTTCTCAAATATAAACTAACATACATAATAATAATAACAATATTATTATTATGTTGGGTTTAGTGAGTTAGTACACAGCAACCAGTGTCAACTGAGTATAACTATACAAGATCAGAGTAAAGACATAGTGGCAAGGAAGATAATTCATTGTAAAACATATACATTACATCACAGAAGGAAGGCAAGGCTTCCTTCTTTAGTGTGATGTATGTGTTTATATTCAATTGTAATGTTTCCAGGCTTTTGTGTAGTGTGTGTGGTATGACACCTATAGAGGAGAGAATGACAGGTACAATAAGCATCCTTTCCATCCTCCACAGATGCCTTATTTCCTGGGCGAGTTCTGTGTACTTGCTGATTTTTTCAGTGCATGTGTTTTGTACATTGTGAATGTTTGGAATGGATATGTCTATAATGTATGTGATTTTATTGTGTTTGTGTGAGATGTCCTGTCTGTTGTGGTAAATTGTTTTATCTGTAATTATGGCTCTGTCATAGTACATTTTGTGCATGTTGTTTTCCAATATTGTCTGTGGAATGTATTTGTAGTATGGTTCACAGATGTCTAATAATTTGTGTTTGTTTGCAAGCTCTTGGTGTATTATATTTGCTATTTGATTATGTCTACATAAATAATCAGTGTGTGCCAACAGCTTGACCAGAAGTGATATGTTGTATAGTTTCTGGCATGGTGTGACATTTTCTGCATGTGTTATTTGTGGATGTTGTATCTTTGAGTATGTATTTTTTGTAGTTTTCAGTATTTATCACTTGATCCTGTATGGTAATGATGAATCCTTCCGTCTCCCCAAAAAGGCATCCCTGAGCTAACCAGCTGTTTAACACAGTTTTGTCAACAAAATCCTGGGCCAGATTGTATAGGAATGTCTGCCATGGAGTGCCTTTCGAGCCCACAATTGCTTAATGGTGTCTATGCTTGTGTTGTGTTGTGTCCATATGATGTGAGTGTAAGTTTAATGTGTGTTTTTTGAGTCTGCTAGAATTACTGTTTTATGTAACTGTGATGTTTCTTGTAGAAAAACTCTTGCAGTGTCTGTATTTGTTTGTAGTGAAGATTTACTATGTCAATCAGGCCACGCCCACCATCTTTACCTGAAAAGGTTAATCTTTCTTTGGCTGATTTAGGATGATGATGTTTATGCTTAGTAAGTGCTGTTCTTGTTTTCCTTTGGAGTTGTCAAGTTATTATTATTATTACTATGTTGCAAATGTCATGCTCAGCTGATACTGGTGCCAAGTGCTATGCTGGACTAAAGTGTAACATTAAGCTATTATTGGTATGTATGTCAACATCTAAAAACTTCCTAACGATGTAACATGTGTTCAATATTGCAGCTTTTTATAATGTCATGTGTATGTTTTTATTAAGGTTTAACATATCTACACTTGTGTAGTGTATGTATAATACCAGTACAAGAGAGAACAACAGATATAATAAATACCTTATCCATCCTCCACACATGTCTTATTTCTTGAGCAAGTGGAGTGTACTTTTTGATTTTTTCAGTGTAAGCAATTTTTTCTGTTCTGGCTCAATTATTAAAGTCATCATAGTTTTTCCTGATGTTAATTAGAAAAATTACAAAGAATTCTTAGAAAAATTGATGATCATAGAAAAAATATACTTGTAGTCAGGAGAAACTATTTGGAGAATTAAAAACATGTAAATAAATATAAGAAATAACACAATTATTTTAACAAACACCCCACAAAAAACCAAATACCAGCAGAAAAAAGGGGAATAGAGCTAATGTTTTCACCTATGTTGAATGTGCATAAAGTGTTAGTAATGTTTAAAATTTTATCTAAAAATTTATGATTTAGAATAAATAATAAAATTCAAAGTAGGAGACTAATTTCCTTTTTTCTAACAAAATATAGAAGAAACAGTATATGATTTGGAATCAATTTCAATATAATGAATATATTTTACAGAAACAATAATAGGTAAGTGCTGTTCATATATATTATTTCTGAATTTCTAGCTTAATGAGAATAAGGTTTGCACTTCAAAAACAAGTTTTAAATTTAATCATTTCAACCATAGTGCAGAATTGAAATATTTATTTCTAAAGTTTACTTAGTTTTTAAATGAGCATGATGATGATAGATTTATAATCCATTTTTGGTTTGTTAGCAGTTAAATTTTATCAATCATTTATAATTAACTGCACTGATGAATATGCTTTTCTCTATCAAAGAAATAAACCTATATAGTCTTATTTCTTGAAAAGTAAACACTGTTAGAATTTCAATTTAATTTCACTGTGTTTGCTTTTCATAGACATGAAATTATTGCTTTCAAAATTCATATTCTATCTTTTTTTTTTGCATTTCATTTTTTTTAAAAATGAACAACTTTATAAGCAAATAAATAAATGCTAAATGATTTATTAATATTAAGTAAGGCATACTTGCATCTATTGCTGATGAATTCATGAAT